GGCTGATGGTGGTGTCGCAATGGGTATTCCCAGAGCCGAGGCAAACATGATGGCTGCTCAGATGGTCAGGGGTACTACGGGCTTGATCCAGGCCGGCGAGCACCCCGCTATCCTGAGAGAGAAGGTTTCCACCCCTGGAGGTTGCACTATCGGTGGCCTTTTGGTTCTCGAGGAGGGTGCTGTCAGAGGCCATGTTTCGAGAGCCGTACGAGAAGCTACCGTTGTTGCCTCTTTGTTGGGCTCTGGCCAGAAGGGTGTCAACGGAACCAGACATTAGGCTGCCCGAATCACATAGACCTGAAACGAATACATGATAGATGTGCATACTAAGACTGCACGACCCGATCCTTCTCTTCACGGTCAAAACCAAGGAACCCAGACGACTCAATGGCTCATTGCGACCGGGTCCCTGACATACGACTTCTTCCTTCTTCTGAGAGAGTAGGAAGCCTCGACACCTCTATACAAACGTTGTTTACAATCCCTGAAAGTATTTGAGCGAGATACCCAGCACAAGGAATGCTTTTGGAATGTTTGCGCAGCTGACTAGACTCCTCAGATCCGTGATCTTCCTGAAATGTATGCACCCAGTTAAACACAACATCCGGATCTTGAGGAATGCTTCTGGAAAGGATACCGATAGCCTGTCTATAGCTCAGCATCAAGCATCCATCGACGCAATGATGCATGAATCCGTCACCAGTTTCTGCCAAGCACATTACACTATCGCGCAAGGCGGATCCTCTACTCTATCTTGCATACCCTACGAAATCGCTAATGCCCTAAGCTACTATTTATCAGCTAGGAGAATTCTTAAGTCAACAGGTCTACCAGACTCGAAGCACACCAAATCTCACTCCATCGATACATCGATAAACCATCCACCATTCAAGTCAGAAACCACGTAACAGAGCCACTCGCAGCATCCGATCCAACCCACAAGAGCTAGAAGGACTGCTGTTATATCACGCAACCCTCGAGCAAAGATATGGCGAAGAACTGGTAACAGCGACTTTCCAATCTCGAACATCTACGCAATACTCAATCAGATTAACTTTGAAACCGCGAGGCGGACAGTGGATAGATACAGTGTTGACTGAATATACGATGTATCGACTAAATCCAGGCTCTTCAGTTTCGGACCTTTCTCAGTGTATTACGTTCGTATATGCAAAGTACAGGAGCAAGCGGACCTGATTCCGATCCCGGTTAACCTATCGTCACGATGCGCATATCCTACTTTGGAATTACGCTGCAGGCGCATTACATGCATGCCGCTACTCCCCGCATGCAGGCCCCGATATGCAGGTCTCTATACCCCGCAAAGTAGTCAGGTACCTTAGTCTTTACGAAGATCCACTCTCCACTTTGCCAATTCTGTCTACACTCTTGTCCTCGTCGTCTCTGTATTTATTACCACTTCCGCCGTTATAGTCACTTGATGGACTGCCGCTCTCGAGGAGTAAAGTGGCGATTCACTGATCATCAAGCAGTGCGCTACTGCCAAGGCTAAAGTACCTCATATGCTGTCCAAACGTCCATGCGTGCATAAATATGCATCCTGAACGCAACTCCTACCCATCGCTGCAAGGCATTGCATCGCAAGTCCCCGAACCATCATGATGCAAAGCAGGACTATCATGCGCTCACACCCTCGAAATGGGAAAACCCCCTCTATGCGCTTATTCCTATTCATATATCACAAGTTACCACCCGAAACCAAAACGTTTGACCAAACCCCTCCCTCGCACAGCCCTTTTAAAAGCCCGGAGAAATGCATGTCTTCGATTTCTGCATGACGATAGCATCGCTCGTCGTTCCCGGGAAAGCCGTCTTCACCCATGAGTCACACCCACTTCCTCAGATCCCAGCTCAGATTCCAGTAGGAAACATCTTTATTATTCCGACGTCGACTCCCACTGCAATGACTCCCACTGCAACGACACTAACAGCAACGACTCCCACTGCGACGACCCCAGCCCCCCTCTCACCCCGCCAATTCAGCCACCACGCCTCCTGCCACGCCTCCTGCCACGACTCCAGCTCCAGCTCCAGCTCCAATGCCTGCAGCAGCCCATCAGTAGCAGCAAAAGCCGGGATAGGCGTAGGCGTAACCCTAAGCGTCCTCCTGATCGCCGTCCTGCTTTTCTACCTCATCCGTCGACGACGGCAGAAGAAGAATGCCGAAGCCGGGGTTTTGGAGATACAGGATATGAGACAGGATGGAACGAGACGGGTTTTGGAGGGGCCGGGTATGTGTCAGCGCTGAGGGGGGTGAGATGGTGTGGGTTGGGGATGGGGTTTGCTTACGAGGAGAGATGTAGACGCAAGGTGCGAGGTGCATTTGGAGGTTAGGGTAGGTCTTGGCCATTGTACATCAGGTTTCCTCAATGCGGGGATATCCATCGTTGCCTTGGAATTGTCGGCGGGGTTCTGGTGATGTTAGTGCATGGCAATGCGAATTCGCACCAAAGATCTCAGAAGAGGTCAATCTCGCGGAGGCGGGATGTCGAGGTCGTGTATAGATGCACTATCTTGGTCTGATGAGGCACTTATTAGACATCTTCGAGAATAAGCAGAGATTTCGTGTTCGAGCTTACACGCGTGAATGGCTTTGCGATCAATCATCTGGGCTAGACGCTGTAGATTGCGACGGCTCGATGCGTTCGAGAGTGCTGTATTCGTGCCAAGACTCTGCACAATGGAACATCATTCCTTCGTGTAGAAGGATCTGCCGTCGGAGAATAACACTGAATGCTACCCAAAGTAATGTGTCACGGTGTGCCTGACTTGAGATGTTCGCAAGCGCTGAGGTCGAGTTGGATCGGTGAACACATGATTAGTCGGGAGCATACTAAGTCTCGTCCTTCGCCTGTCATTGGAGTTCAGGACCAATTGTCCTGTCCGACCATACACCATGCAAGAGAACGAACTCGCTCCAGGCCCCCTCATCGTAGCGGTGCATTTAGTATGACAAAACTTCACTCACAGACATTGGTTTCTGTCAAGATTTCTAACTTCAGCGCAGGTATGTTTCCATTTCTGAGGCTATTTTAGGATAGCGACTCGGTATCGATAGTCATCCATGACTCCACAGCTCTGTCCTACTCCTCAAGTCCATGTAAGCGCCGATATGCTGCCTTGAGCTGTTCGAAAATGACAAAAGTGATTATTGTCGAGGGTGCCCTACTGATGAGTGCTGGTGTCAGTCCTCGAAACATCCATGTTGGCCCCTCGTTCTTGAAGATACGTCGAAGCATGACCCCCATGCTATCATGAGCGGTAGTTCGTGTCATGATCCGAGCCTTGAACACATCCAAAGGACTGCATATGAAAGTGGACAAAAATCCTGCCAAACAGCTACCGGTAATGTGTGTGGGGATGTCATCCTTCATCGATGTTCGTCTCATGAGTTCTCTCTTGATGACATCGTAGCCTGCGAGTTGTGTTGCAGTGGCGACGGCTGATCTTCCTGCACCTATTCCGACGCCAGTCCAGATACTGCCCCATCCTTCAGTCCGGATCATCTTGACCAGACCATGTGCAATGTTGTTGTAATTGCGTCGTTTCTCAAGCGGTACACCTGGGTCATTCTGCATGCGGAGGCAAACGACATCTGCGAAGTTGCTGGCTACACTGCCGCAGGCACCAGAAGTCGCAGCCAAAACAGCCAGGCTTCCAGCGGCCGGAGCGTGCGTAGGTGTGGTTGACATTTCCTTGAGCTTCTCGTACATGCCGAACCGAATACCAGAGTAGAAAAAGGTTCTCGTAAGAGAGGCACTCAGCTACCAAGAGTTTAGCGTTTGTGTCAAAATTATCAATACGGTTAGACATACTCCTTTCCATAGCCCAGGGACACCTTCTGTCTTCCAAATCCTGCTCCATATGCCGAACATTCCCAGTTGAGGTCCTTCATAATGGTGAGTCTGTAATCGAAGCTTCAACAAATCAGCAATGCACGTCATAACAAGTATGGAAGCTCTCGTACCCCGGCTGTGAGTGGGATCAGTCTGAGTTGAATCTACAAGATTGAGCATTCGTAGCTTACCGACGCCCAAAGGCTGCGTGCAACAGTTTGACACGCAGCTTGCTAGTCCTCCATACTATAGTGGATAGTGAATGACTCCATGCAGTGAATGAATCGATTTGTCCTTCTCTGCAACAAGAGGGTGTATCTCAACGAGCAATTTTTGCACAATCGGAGGGGAGGGTATAAGCGCGCCCGCAGGACCGGTGAAGCCAAGAGAACCAGGCATGACAGGAGGCGTTAAAGTAGCAATGCCGGATGCGAGGAGTGACGATGGGAAAAGAAATAGAATAGTATAACTTGAGAGTCGGGTAAGATGTGCGGATCGTACAAATAGGTAGAGAAGGGATTATAAATTCCGATGGACATCTTTGTACCTACGTCATGTCCCACCTTGAACTTTTGGAATTGTGATTGAAGGAAAGTACGACCGCTGTTTGGAGGATTCATACCCAGGTCATCGGAATGACACGAGCGTTCATCGTTTTTTATCAGTCATAGCTCGGCAAGTGTGTTCCAGGTATCATTAATGGTCTTGATGGAAAGACATGGGCAAGATCAAGGGACTTTGGCTGCCTTGTTGCAGGCCAATACCTTACTTGTCAAGCTTTAGCCGTCTCCCATTTAGCTTGCAGCATACCTTAGAAAAGCCCCGCCAGGATCCTTCCCTAACGTCCTCAAGAGTGGTCTTCCATGTAGAGGGTGTTTGTTTGTACATGTGCCCAGGTACAAGGCAGTCTGGAAAAGCGAATCCAGTATTTGCTTATTGTCCTATGCACATGCAGAAATGTCGACCAAACTTGCGTATGCTGGATAAGGAAATAGATCCCACCGTCGTAGTAGAAATGACGACTTCTTCATGAAGAGACCACCCTACCGTCGAACAAAACAAAAAACAATAATGACCTGCTAAAGGTAAGGACTTGAGCAACAGAGGTCTATCGTCACAGATCAGAGCAAAAACTAAAAATGATGATCAGAGTGGGATTCGAACCCACGCAGATTACTCTACTAGAAACCTCGCCCAGTCTTTCAACCGGAAAGCTTTGAATCGCTTGAGTCTAGCGCCTTAGACCGCTCGGCCATCTGACCTGTTCTTGTGAAAATACTTCGCCTCACCGCAATAACAATGTCAGATATTGAGATCGTGTGCATAGAACTGAAGGAATAATCGGATGGCGTCTTGAGCGTGATTGCTGTGAGGCGGATCAGGCAAGTCTTCTCAACATCGAACAAGAAATGGCCAAAACAGCAAAGGATTGTTGGACAGAAAATCGCACAATCGGACAGACGAAGCCTCGAGAAAACGAAAAGGTTTCAAATCCACGGAATGTCTCGGCTTTCACGTCGATCTAGGGCCCGGCCGTCCACGAAAACACAAACAAAAACATGGATTCCCAACATCCGACCTCCCTCTGTTCCCTCTCGCTGGAAGCAACTGATCACGAAGCTCAGCAGGGATGCAAAATGATCAGAATGGGATTCGAACCCACGCAGATTGCTCTACTAGAATACACCTACCTTCAGAGGTAGGAAGCTATTGTATCACTTGAGTCTAGCGCCTTAGACCGCTCGGCCATCTGACCAATTAGATGCCAAGAACAATATGGTTACGGTAGGTATACAATCAATCATCCTGGGGGCGATTGGAGCAGGATCACGAAAAAGGGATTTGGCAATCGGGTCTTGCATGTTCAGTGAAAAAAAACGACATCGATATTTTTTATCGATATTCATCAATTAATTGACACTACCATCTACACGCCGACTCGACGAGTCGGTCTATCCAACTCCCGTCGATTTTAGTCGAGGGAAAGGGTTCCGCCTGACCATCTCAGCGACGCCGTTGCTATAGTCGCTCCCATCTCATCTCTGTAGAGAGTAAGAGCCGCAATAGCCGCCTAATAAAAGACTAGAGCCACTAAATAGAGTAGCGGAGGGTTGATTCAACCTATCCGCTTACTTAGCCTAAGTAACGATACTGTCTTTACAGAAGACATAATGAAACGTCTCCTTAAAGGAGCAGTGAACGCCTAGAATAGCAAACTCGAAAAGCTAAGCAAGCAGTTGCATACATTCTATTTAGAGAATGTCGCATTGCTAGCGAAGCTTAATATTGCTAAGAAGAAACTCAATATTACAAAGAAAAGGCTAAAAGCAGTTAATAATGATTTTAAAGCTCTGAATAATAAAGTTAAAAAACTATAAGAGCTAATATTAAGATACTTGACACTAAAGTCAGGACTATCAGCTCTAATATTAATAATAAGAGAACTGTCCTTTTCAGCTTTAAATATTTAAGCCTATTATTGCTAGCTGACTCTAATATAGCGGCCTCACTACTAACTTCTTACGCTTTTATAGCGTTAAGATCTATTAACCTGTTGTTATTAGCTACTTAGCTTCAATATAGTAACATTACGCTGTTAACTCTACTTACTTTTCTAAAGAAGCTATGCCAGCTCCTAAGCACTATAATCAACTTTAATCGATTATCAGCTAAATAACTTTAGTCAACTAAAAACAGTAAAGCTATAGAGAAACAAATTTAGAAAGCTATTGCATTCTAACTATCTATATATATAGTTACTATTAAAAGGATTTAAACAAGATTAAGAGCTATAAGAATTATTATCTAAAATGAAAAAAACGTAGTATAACTATAGTTAAATAATAAATAGGTTTATTAAGTATTCAAAATAGCTTAGATATTTGTTTCCTATTAGCAAACGTAAATAGACAATCTCTAGTCTAGCTTAGTCTTCTTAACAATCAATCTATTAATCATTTTGTAGTAATTATAATTATAAAATTAAGTATTGCTAATATTGACAGTAAGCTATATATTTCTTAACATTAATGCTAGACTACTGTAACTATATTTATTTAATAAGGGAACTAGCGCGTTACGCGTTTTAGTTACTATTGTATATTTATAAAGATATTTCATTTATTCAGTTCTCTATGCAGTTATTAAATATAACTGTAGGGGTTATTACTACTTTAATAAGACATATTTTCATTATATTAATATATATTTTAAGCTATAGTCAACATGCTTTTTCTTAAATAGAATTTAAAAGAAATAATTGCTATTAAGCTAGCTATACTGACAGACGCTATTCACAAAGCTAAATCAAAATATAGAGAAAACCTCTATATTGTAATAAGAAGTGACTTTAATTGCTACAATCCTATATAGAAAGAGATCAATAAACTGCAATTCTAATACGTAAAAAAAGGCAAGCTAGTGCTCTAATAAATACATCAATATAACACTTTTTTAGCTTTATTAAGCAGTATTATTACATTCCTTTAAAGACGCTTTAAAACTATTATTAACTTTATGCTAGTGTCTAATTTATTAGAAAACTAGATTACAAAATACAATATCCACTTAACCTAATATAGATTAGACTATAAAGCTATAGCATTTTAACTTAAGAAGATTAGAATTACTGCTTTATTAAAAGCTAAATACAATTTTAAAAAAACAAACTGAAATAAAGCTATTAAAGTATTTAAAATATAGAAACTGTTAATTGTCTATATTAATAACAGTATTAAACTCAATTAAGTAATTATAGAAATCCAGAATATAATAAGCTAATGCATTCGCAATTTTAGCTTAATAGTTAAGAAATCCCTATATATGAAAGCATAATAGAATAACGAGCTTATTAAACTTTATAATAAATATATTTAATACTAGAATTGGAACAACGTATTACAGACTATAAGACTAAATAGAAAAGAAAGTCGTTATAAAATTAAATAAGCTAAGCATCAATTCTATAAAGGTATTTATAATAAAAAACAGCTATATTAAAACAACTTTCTAGCATAAATAGACTATATCTGAAAAGCAGCTAAATACTTTAACTTACAACTATTAGTGTTTAGCAACATTTTTATTATAGTTATTAATAATAAAAGCTAGAAAAGAAAGTTCAAAAATAATAATATTAAAGTAACTGAACTACTCTAATACTTCTTTCTATTAGTTTTAAAAAATTAGAAAGAGAATGCCCTAAATCTAACTGCAAGATATATAAATAATCCGAATATTTTAATTAAAGAAGTAGCTAAAGCAATAGTTAAAATTAGTTTATATAAAGCTCTAAGTATAGACAGCATTCTGAATATTGTATAGAAATGCTTATAATCAATATTAAGCAACTAAGTCACTAATATCTTTAATGCGTTATACTAACTAGAATACGTATTAGCTATATAGAAGACAGTACGAATCCTATTATTATAGAAACTAGGGAAACCTGATTATTATATAGCGAAAGCATATTGTCTTATCTCCTTTTTAGCTACACTAAGCAAGCTAATAAAACTAATATTAGTAAAAAGAATATTATACTAAGTAAAGACTTTTAACTTCTTTTTAAAAATATAATTTAGCGCTAAACTATAATAATTATATAACTAAGCTCTGCTCTTCTTTATTAAGAAAATCTTTAAAGCATAGTAATAAAAGAAAGTCTTCTCTCTTATTAGTTTCAATATTAAAGGAGTATATAACAGCGTTCTTTAAAAATACTTATTAATAAGCTATAAGTAAAAGAAATTCTAGCTTACATAATTATATAAGTTAACTTCTTTTATATTAACTAACTAGCTATAGTATTTATTAATAGAATAGAGTTAAATTAAGTCATTCTTATTAAGTTAAGTCTTTTATAAAAAAATTATACTTACTCTAATTTTTAATTATCCTAGTATAAATAGCCCTATTATAAAATATAATAATAATTAACTGCAAATCTGATTAATATAGCTCTAATACAGTATATAAAAACTACTTTAAAACAAAGAATCAGTATTTAAACATTTTTACTAACAGCTTTATTACTAATAGATAAATAGGAATTAAAGTAGCTATGTACTTTAAAACCCTTGTATTACTGTTTATTCTCTCTTAATAAGTCAAATTGGAAAATAGCATTAATAGCATAATAATAAAGCTAATTGCAATTAAAAAAGCTAGAATTCTAGCTAGAATTCTATTAAAAATACTCTATAATTATAAAAGGCAAATTCCCTAAGTATTAATATAGTCTAATAGCTAAATAGCTATTTGCATAGTTAATTAATAAATTAGCTAGAGCAGAGCTACTATAGTATAAAGTATTTTATATATAGCTAATTATTACTCTATTTTAAAAAGACAGCTAGCTATTTAATAAATCTTAAAGAAGTTCGCTATTAGAAAACACATTAAAGTAAACTGACTAGCTAAATAGGCTATGAACTCTCTTATTATAAGGATAATAGTAAGCAAAGTGATTTTAAACAGTGTAAAGCAAATATAGAACACTTTTTAAAATAAGATTCTAGCTCAAAAAACGTTAAAAACTATAAAACATTAATAAAAGCTTTTAAGCAATAGATAGCGCTATCTCTAGTAAACATATTACGTTACTTTATAATAAGCTAAACAGAAAGGAGACCTCTATTCTATTATAGCTTTATATGGAATATGCCTATTTAAATAAGTTTTTAGCAACTATTAATATTACAAAGTCAAATTAATATAAATGTAATTAAAAAGAGGAGACAGTCTGACACTTTGTATTACTATATTCTAAATACACAGCTTAAAGACAGAGACTTGTTAAAACGTTAGGCTCTAACTATAGTAATATATCTCGAATAATTAGAGGACAGAACCCCTATATAGTAATAGAGCAACTTTATAAAAATGGACTAACAGACTAATAGAAAGCAGAGATAAATATAGTCTATATAACTATTAGGTACGTAATAGATATAAAAAGATTAAACTTTACAGAAAAGCATAGGAAAATAAAGAAGGAAATTGAACATGAGAACTAAAAGAGTAAGTTAAGAAATAGCAAAGGCAAGCTAGAGAATAGAAACAAAAAAAAATACAGTATATATTAATACAGCACTTGCCAAAGAATACTTAAATAGAATAGATACATAAGCATTCTAATAGATTAAACTGTAGAATGAGACATAGACTCTATAAATATTTATATAATTAGCAAATAAGTAAATAATAGCTGCTTATACTTCCTATAATAAGCGTATAGCGTATAAAGAAATCAATTAATTAATTAATCAATTGCGTATTTAATAAGAGGAAAAACGTTTATCGATATTTTTTATTTATATCTATTAGTTTATTGACAGTATCATTTACAAGTCGACTTAACAAGTCAGACTATCTAACTCTTATCAATTTTAGTTAAGGGAAAGGGTTCCGCTTAGGTATTTTTAGCAATACTGTTGCTATAGTCATATTAACGCTGTTCCTAAAGGAACTGAATATTACTATAGCAGTTCAGAAAAGAGCTAGAAACACTAAACAGAGTAATAAAGAGTTGATTCAACCTATTTGCTTATTTAGCTTAAATAATACTGCTCTTTTTATTAAGAATATTAAAAGGTTTTTTTTTTAAAAAAAAGCAGTAATGTTACAACTATGCTCTGCACATGATTAACTATAATCACAGCTTGGCATCTGGATTAGTGATTACTTATTCTGAATAATTAGGCTAAGCATACTATAATTATTTATTTACTGTAATCATAGTGATCCAGTGATCAA